GAGTACTTAGTGGAGCTGAAATGAATTCCGCTTTCGAACTCTTCAGATTGGAATGATGACTCCTTGCAAAGCGTAAGCACTTGTTCAAGGAAAGTTTGTTTACTTTCTTTCTCGTGCGTTAAGGTCTCCAAGCCGGCAGCGGCGGACGCGCGGCGCGGCGTGGCTGCATCCGAGGATCCACGGGGCGGACGCGGCCATGACCAAGTGACCGTGGCCGGAACCATGACCATTGCATTCGTGGGCACGATCAGTGGCGTCGGCGTCGGCGGCGTTTTGACGGATTATTCGGTCCCGCGCTCCTCATTCCACGCTTCCACGAAAACGCGCCCGGTTTCCATTGTCTTACGCTCACTCTCACTGCTCTCTCCGCTTCGCTTTTCGTTTTCTTCCATGCTCGTGCTCGCCTTTCATGCAGATTAAAGCGCTCGTAAATAATTAAAGCTCCTCGCATCGGGGGCCTCCGGCAACTGCCCGACGCGCCGAGCCAGCCAGTTCGCTCGTTACGTTTCCCGGCTCCGCGCTCCGTTTCTGTCGCGTGTCTCCGTATAATTGCATATGCCCGCCGAGATCGGGACCGGGAAACATTGTCCACTTGCCCGTCACTCAGGGGAGGAGATCTAATAGACTCGTAGGGAATCTTGATTAAAATTCCAGATCCCACCAGGATTATGATACCCGGAGAAAAGAACTTTCGTCATACAAATTGCATGGTTCAGTAAGCGCTTTTTGGTTCAGAAAACTGATTCTTCAGTCGAGCGAACCGACCGCTGCAGTTGACAGAGCTGAGCCTCATCTCTATACAAATCGAGAGACACTGACTCACATATATCGAATAAGTAGTCGCATATAGACCAAAGCTTTCGGTTCGTTCGACTGAGTCTTTGGTTCACCGAACACAAGTTCAGTATAATAATTGAAGCAGCGACTGGAGAAAGGAGTCTCTCGGATCCAGAGTCCAGATTCTTAAAAAAATCGACAAATACTTTTTTCCTGTGTGCTCAACTGAGAGCTTTGTTCTCTGAACCAGATAACGCTCACTGAAATTTTTTGTTAGTATACCTATACCTACGAGTTTTTTTCTCTTCATGTCAAAGGCGCATTATAGAGAGTGATCCAAAAGTCAAATTATTTACACTGGTTGTTTGTCAACGGATTTACGCGAAAATCGGTAGAACCAAAGGTATTTGGACGTGGAAAAACGGATGTGACGTTAGATTTTAAAGGAAAAATTGAAATTTCCAAAATGACCGCCGGTTCAAGTTCAAAATGGCCAAAAATTGCCACCTCAGTTTTTTATTGATGGATTTGCCTGAAACTTGGGACTTCTGGGTATTTTGGCATGAGATTAACACATTTTCGGTTAGATTTGTAGAAAAAAAACTATCTTCAGCCATTTTGAAATTCAATCCGCGGCGTTTTTGGAAATTTTGTTTTTCTTAAAAATCTAACATTAAATTCGTTTTTCCTCTGTCAAAATAGGTACCCCCGGTGCCGAATTTCTGGCAAATGCATCTACAAAAACCCGAGATGCCAATTTTCCACCATTTTGAACTTTCACCGGTCGCCATTTTTAGACGGTTTGAGATATTGACTTTAGGTTTGCCCGAAATTTTCCTTTTTTATGCTTTTTCGCACGAGGTATCACAAAGGGGATCTTCCCATTTGACAAAAAATAGGTCGGGTCCTTTGTCGCCCCTAAAAGAACCCATTAAAAATATTAGGGGGGCCGAATGTAGCTCCCTTTGACTTCCCTGGTAAAAATGGCAAGTGCTCAGGTCAGTAGCACTTGCCTGGAACAGACCTAAACACTGATGTCAGTGCTGCTGGGCGCTGATCTGCTACGTCAGTGTTAGGTCTGTTCCAAAGGCAAGTGCCCTTGATGTAAGTGGCACTGACCTAAGTGTCTCTGACGTAAGCGGAGTGGAAACTCCCAGAAATACTATAGAGGCATAAATTTAGTTAATTACCGATCCGCCAGGTACGTAAATTCACAATTTGACGACCAGGGAGGGCTGCTGTGAATTTTCTATCACAAGTAATCATCACAATCTTCAGTGGCAACGCTCGTTCCCATGCGGTCTTCAATCTAAGTACTAACTTCGCCCGACGTAGCTTAACTTCGGTGATCGACCTAGCGACTGGACCACTACACTACCTGCGCGTGTAAGTGCCAGGGGCGTAATTATGCCGTTTCAGGACCCCATTGGAGTAATTTTGCCAGCAAATGATGATTTTGTCTTTGAATTTGAATCCGATACTTAATTTTTTTATTATTCTATTTTAATCAATCACCATGTAAATGAAGTTTTATATGTTATATTTCTTTGAAAAAAAGAAGGCATTAAAATTCAAACTTATAGCTAAGGATGTAAAAAAAATAATTAAAGTTGAAATGATACAAAAAATATAAATTAGCAGATACAAAAATTGAAAGTACTTAAAGGAATAAAACAGATGGAAAAGAGTTAAAAATAAATTAGGAAAATTTTAAAAAAAATTAAGACTGGAACATTTAAAAAAGAGTTAAGACTGAAAAAAATTAAAACCAAATTTAAAACAATTTTTTTTAAACTCTTAAGTTAAAAAAATAACAATGCTTAAATAATTACATTTAAATACGCGGTGATAATATTTTTACCGATCTCATTTTCTTGTGTTTTAATTATTTAAGTGCCATCATAAACGAAGAAGGTAAAACAAATTATTCAAGAGTGTGGCTACCTAAACAAGTTTTCCTCCTCTTAGAAAATCCCCCCTCCTAAAAAATATGCCTCTCTGCAAGATAAAGTTTGTGGTCCCCGTATCCCGAGCAATATTCCCCCCACGAAAATGAAATAGGGTGGGGGAAGAGGGAGCCATCTCTACTTTTTGGGAGTGAGTGCGGTTCGATTAAGACTGATGTCAGAGACTTACCCTCTGAGCCAAGTCCTGACCTCAGTCCCGCTTACCTCAGAGATATCTCTGCACTTAGGTAAGTCTTCCTCCCGACGTCAGTGCCTCTTACCTCAGTGCTGACTTCTTGGGTAAGTGCTTTAACACTTACGTCAGAGAAAACTGAACTGACCTCAGAGCAAATTTTACTGACCTCAGTGGAAAATTCACTGACCTAACACTTGCCATTTTTACCAGGGTTAGGAACATCCCCCAAGTTCCAAGTCCTTACCTCAATAATTAGGAAAAAAGTTAGAGGGGGTGGAACGGACTTTTGGATCACCCTGTGGTCGTTTCTTGCGTGAGGTTGATAAAAATTAATGCCCTGCGCTTTTTCGAGCTCATATAATATGATAGCAGTTACCTATTTTGAACGGCCTGATCATGAAGCTAAACGATCAAAAATGAGATGGAGTTTCACAAAAGAAAACTATAAGTATTACAGGGGCTGTATTCCTTACTTCCGTGAAAAATCTCCATTATCATTTGGTCCCTTTCTCTGAATTGATTTGACCCTTTCGCATTCACACATTTATTTAAAATATCAAGAAGTATGGTTTAGAGTACCTTTATAGACAGAGTATGGCTATTTCTATGGCTATTTCTGTGACGGTTTTTTATTGGTGGCGTGGAAATAGGCTGACACGATGTTCTTACGGCCGTCAATAAACAAACAAGATGGCTGTTATCAGCAAGCAAGTTTGAGGTTATGCACATATTACATCCTCCTGTGATAAAAGCGAAAGGCGATTTAACAGTTAGCTTTGCATGTGTTATTCGTAGACATGCTAGTTTAAATTGTCACTGCCGTATAATTGAAATTTTTGTTAAATTTTAGCTTCTTATCGATGTTATGGTGAGCCGCCATCTTGTTTGTTTATTTACGGCCGTAAGAGTATCATGACGCCTAAAAACTCGTCAACCAATCAAAAAGCGGCACAGTTTTCCTGTAGTAAAAAGATACGAATGGCCATACTCTGTCTATTACGGTACTCCAGTATGCATGGTTTCGAAAGCGATTTCTTTTTTGAATAAAAATGAACAAACAAAGATTCTGCGGTTCTGCATAGGGTCAGTTGGGGTAATTCCGTCACGGGTTAGTTCCGGATGTGCATCATGGAGGACGTAATATTGAGGTTAGGAAATTTTCGCGCTAGTATGTTATTGTTGCCAACGTTCAGTTGGTCATCCTGAGTGATTTGATTCTCATGTTTTGTTTATATACAAGTGGTAACGGGGGTTACCGTGAGGGACCGAAAGAAGAATCAAATTATAAAGTGCATAGCTTCCCTCCTAAGTGTAGGTAAGAAAAAATATCTTTATATTCAACAACCATTATTTCTATAAGTTGTTCTGTTTATGAATAACCAATTTTGTCTGTTCTTCGGATGATCAATAAACCTCTGTTCAGATTGAGGTTAGGTAAACCGGAATTACCCCATCGGAAAAACACCGGTGGGGTAATTCCGTTTATTCAAGGTGTTTTTCCGATGGGGTAATTCCGGTTTCACCTCAATCTGGACAGAGGCTCATTGATCATTCGAAAAACAGACTAAATTGGTTATTCATAAATGGAACAATTAACTTATAGAAACAATGGTTGTTAAATATAGAGATGATTTATTTTACCAATAACACTTTGGAGGGAAGTTATGCGTTTTATAATTTGATTCCTCACGGTAACTCCCGTTATCACTTGTAAACAAACAATAAATGAGAACCAAATCACTCAAGGTGACCAACTGAACGTTGATAAAAATATACTAGCGCAAAAATTCTCTAACCTTAATATTACGACCTCCATGATGCCCATCCGGGATTACCCCATTGCGGGTGGGGTAATTCCGGACGCTATAAAATAATTCATCAACAATTTTTGACAACATTTTTTTCAACAAAAACTAGCTTAACTAGCTCTCCACAATATGAGGAGCTGGCTGATTAAAAAAAAATGTTGAATTCAATCAGTTTGACGGGTCCAAACCAAAGGTCAAATTACAAATTAGGTTCCAAGTGTCAAAATCGTCCAGAATTACCCTAACTGACCCTATTTGGCAAAATTCTCTTACCTGTGGATACAGTGAGCGGCCGTTGCAACGTACTTATGGGCGACGAGGACCCCACCACACTGAAGACCAGCAATACGAATGTGTGCCTGCCATGGGAATTCGCCGAACAACGCCTCATCGCCTCCAATAATCCGCTTCTGGAAGTTGTAATTCGGCACGCCGCACTCTCGAAACACAACACACGGTAAAATCAGTACCTACGCAACTTTCAGAATGGAACATAAGCCAATCATCATTGATTACCTATTCAGTATTCACTGGTGATGAAGATCCCGTACTCTAGAGTACCTTTATAGACAGAGTATATGGCCATTCGTTTCTTTTAACAACAGGAAAACTGTGCCGCTTTTTGATTGGTCAACGAGTTTTTAGGCTTCATGATGCTCATCCGGCCGTAAATAAACAAATAAGATGGCGACCCGCCGTAACATCGATAAGAAGCTGAAATTTGACAAAAATTTAAATTACATGACAGTAACAATTTTAAACTAGCATATCTACGCATAACGCACATGGAACTACTGTTAAATCAACTTTTGCCTTTATCACAGGAGGATGTAAGATGTGCATAATCTCAAACTTGCTTGCTGATAACAGTCATCTTGTTTGTTTATTTACGGCCGTAAGAACATCGTGTCAGCTTATTTTCTCGTGACCAATGAAAAACCGGGACAGAAATAGCCATTCTCTGTCTATAAAGGTACTCTATACGTACTCCTGAACCAAGCAGTGTCATATTTAGAGTATTCATATACAGCTATCCGGATGACTAGAGACGACGCATATCGTTCTGAGTGTAACGGAAATCGTAGCGCGCCTCCGTACTTTTGCCCATATACACATTCACATCCATGAAGAGCAGAAAGTTGCATTCACGAGTTCTTATAAATATTACCTACACGCGTTTTGCTGCTGCATGAGTTCCGGTTGAATCAACGCGCCCTCAATTTTTTGCACGCAACACAGACAGCCTGAGAGTATACGAATAGTTGTATTCAGGCGTTCATATAAATATAACATGTGTAATTCTGCGGAGTTCTGGTAAAACTTAATGTGCCATCAATTTTTTACGCATAAATGAAAAGTCGTGGTCTGCGAAGTGTTGCATTCTTTAGTTCTTTAGTGTTTTTAACTGTCAGTCGGCGGGGATCTCCACCAAAGGTCTTTTAGAAATCAAATAATTGCTCTTTTTTTTGCATAGACAGTATTGCAGCTTTGCATTATCATTTTTGAATTAGCGAAGTAATAGCAATAATTTGTGTTTGCGGGCACAAGTACCTGCTTCTCTGAAAAATTCAATAAAATATAGTTGAGTGTTAGAACGCCGTAATTGGTTCATGTTTAAGGCTAAAGGTTAAAGCTAGCGTTTTGTCAAATGCCTAGACAGTCGGTCAATTAAATTTGTTTTTACAAAGTTCTCCATGTTTTCCATGTGTTTTTTTTCTTCTTTTTTTCATTTTTTTTCACGGAACTCAACTTTCAATTCGGATTTACTTAAATTTTGATCGAACTACATATACGACCTTTCCTGGAATTACGTCCATCTTTAAGAATGTTCCTCACCAATTGAGATCGTCAAAATTGTAAATGCGTAGCATGGAATACACACTGCGCAGTATTCAAAAGTGAACATTCAATCAAGCATTACACAACATTATAACAGTGAATACATTATGTAAAATTTTACGATATTTCCTTTTTTATGTAGGTATTTAATGCATCATCCTGTGGAAAATAAGCGAAAGCGTTGTAATTTTGATCCAAGAGTGTTAACTTCATTATTTGCCCAAAAGAATTTGACTAACGATCTTACCGGTTACAATTTTAGCAGGTAAGTTTCCAAGCATTTGCTTTGCAGAAGAATAAGGCAAGTAAATTCTAAAATCTTTGCATAGAAATCTGTAGCTCTTGAGGGTTCTTGCGGCAAAATACCTACAGGATCGTGATGCGATGGCACACCACGCAGAGCGAGAGACCAGTCAAGTATTCTCGATTTTATCCCCCAAGAAATTTAAGAAAAAAGCAAACGAGCTGTGCCGTTCATGACGCTAATGGGTGCAACGAGGAGGAAATCAACTCCTCTTTCCTCTCCTCTCCTCTCTACATAGTAACCCAGACTGGTTTTGAGAGATAATAATTGACGGCAGTTCTTTATAGCTGCGATCGAGTGTTAAAGAATCACGTTATTTATCCAATGTTTTAGCACAAGCCACTCAACGTTGAAGTTGTCTCCATAAAACTGTAAGAATCTGCATTGTGATTTAATGCAATATTAATCTTTTCGTCTTCGTCACACTCCGCGGCAGTGTTGCCAATGGACCATTAGACAAGGTACGAATTTCAGCATTCTGATACACGTTTCATCACTAAAATTTCACGTAAAACACGATGCGCACAACGAAAATTACCGAAATCAACTCCTTCCGAAGATATTTAATGATTCTTGATGCGTGAATTGAAACCACCCGCTCATGAAAACTCAATGCTCTACGTGATTCACATCGTGCGCTAAACGTTATCATGAACGCCACTGCGCTTAAAAAATCTGGTAACCTCAACCTTGACGCTTTGACTCAGCTATAGCAAATTACTTATAGTTTGAAAAACACATGTGGGAAATGAACACTGCTTGATTGAGAAGCTTGCTGAAACCGTTGTAGTGCGCGATTTGACTCACGTAGAGCTTTGGGTTCCTTGTGAGCGGGCAGTTCAAATTCCTCGTAACCAATGTGAAATAAAAATATTAATATCTCCGTTAGGATTTGGTTTCAGTAATTTTCGTTGCGCGAATCATATTTTACGTGAAATTCTGGTTAAAAAACATGTATCAGAATGCTTAAATTCGTACCTTGTCTAGTGGTCCATTAGTATTGTAACAATGTTGCAGCAAGTACCTTTCATGCTTCGTTAAATTCACGGAGCAAAAATTCTATACCACATTTTTACTTTTTCGCTCCCCTTGCGGGTAGAGGAAGTATTGTCATCCAAAAAAAAAGAAGAAAAAAAATTAAATTTCATCATTTTTAGGCGCCTGAAGGTTCCTGGAGTAAAAAACCTTTGAAAAAATGTGTGTGTGTGTGCGTACGCGCGCCCGTCGGTGTGAGGACGTGTGCAGGTTTGTCCTTCAGGCGTCCCCCAAATCTGTGTACAGCCATATCTCAAAATCTATTGGTTCAACTTCACTCAGGAAATGTGCGTGGAAGAACATATCTATTCTCCATAGTAAGTTGGATAATTTTTTTTACAAATTTTTCCAAGAATCCGTGATTTACCGAAGGCAAATTGGTAACGCCTGAAGGTTCAAACGGCATTTTTCCGGCAGAGCAGTCCATCTTGGGAAAAAAAGAAATTGGAGATGTTGCATGTGTGAGGAATTTGCGATTTGACTGTTGATTCTTTTGCAAAAGTACGCGAGAAACATGATGGTGCCACTGGTTTTCCCTGAAATCAACTCCCAAGCTCAAAAAATGCTCTCAAGTTGAGGCCAAAATGTAGGGGATACCCACGCTACCCGGAGAGTCCACCACTACATCAAGAAGAACTCTCCATGCAAAGATAGGGAGCAAATACATTAGCAGGATTGCCGTGTTCTTAGTTTTGGAGTCCCCAATAAAGAGGCAACCCTGTCAATGTATTTTCTCCCTATCTTTGCATGGAGAATACTTCTTGATGTAGAGGTGGACTCTCAGGATAGCTTGAGATATCCCCTCCATCACGCCCTCAACTTTGAGAGCTTTTTTTGAGCTTGGGAGTTGATTTCAGAGAAAACCAGTGGCACCATCTTGTTTCTCGCGAACTTTTACATTGGAATCAACAGCCAAGTCGCAAATACTTCCTACGTGCAAAATCTCCATTCCCCGAGACAAAAATCCACGAAATGGCATGTTAGCGAACTCACCTACTTGTGAATTGACGCGATCGATGAAGTTGGAGGTTTCATCCCTTCTGACGGGGGTGGCGAGGAGCGGGGGTGGCGCGGGGGCGATTTGGGGCTTGGCGGGGATGCAGCAGGTGAAGAGCCAGTCGGTGACGAGATCCATGTGCCCGTGGGAGCCCTGGCCCTTGCTCCGCCCGCAGCCGCCCTCCAGGCTCCCGCCGACCAGCCAGCATGCCAGCGAGAACGTGCACGAGTGGAGGTGCCCGCGGAACACGCACGTGTCCGGGTAGCCCAGCAGCGACGACAGTAGTCCTCCGTCTGAAACAAACGTTCAAGTCTAGATCAGCGGGTCTCGGTCTCTTGCAAACTTTATATGGACCAGAGGTGACTATTCTGACAAATCTATACTCTTTATGGACGTATTTCTATCAAAAAGAACTATGTGGAGGGGGAAAGATGAGGTGTGCTCGTTAGTGCTTCGACTTTAAGAAAGAATGGGAAAATATTAAGCGAAAGTGACGAAGCCGCTGCGCCGTCGCCGTGGACTAACTCATGAGCCCGGTCCACAAGGCACTAGATACATGCCCACGGCTCATGGGTGCTGCACTTAGTTGGCTCACAGTTCCGTTTGCTGAATTAGAGAAGCGGCATTTCACGTTCTGTCAAACGGCAGTATGTGCACAGTGCATGAGCCGTGGTCATGTATCTAGAGCCTTGTGGACAGGGCTCATGAGTTAGTCCACGGCGACGGCGACGGCGCAGCGGCTTCGTCACTGGCGCTTCATATTTTCCCATTCATTCTTATGGCCGGAGCACTAACGAGCACACCCCATCTTTTCCCCTGCACATAGTTATCTTTGATAGAAATACGCCCGTATAAAAGGTGAGTTCAGGTGGCCGTTTTTATGGTGGCCTCTTCAAAGGGTTGGGCCGCGTAGGTAGCTGTCAGGGGACGTAACCCTAATTGCTGAAAACCCCTGTCAACCCATACCTTGGTAAAAATTGTGAAAGTCTCAAATTCACGATCCGCGTGAGAAAAGAGCCTGGGGTATCAATACTGCCGTGCTAAGGGAAAAAGCTGTATGAAAATCCGGATGTTGCCAAATTTTGCCTTTTATGAAAGTTTTTCCTTGAAATTTTATAATATTTTAAATCGAATTTCGAACATAAGTGTCCGAAAAATTTGAAGAAAATTATTCAGAATTTTGCCGGTAAATTCGGTTTTTATCGAAAGAAATCTGGCAACGCCTAGAGGCTCATACGACATTTTTCCCTAGCAAAGCAGAATAAGTTCCTTTTGGGGGCGACCCTGAATTTTCTCCATTCATTGACTTACTGCTCATTGAGAGTATATTCTCTCATTCTAATAAAACCATTTTTAAGACGCTCGATGGACGAGGCAAGGAAGGGGAGTAAGACGGTCGATGGGTAGGAATGAGGAAGGGGAGTTCAAAGGACAGAGTTTTAAAAGAGTGGGTCTTCATTTTCAGAGCCTTTGTTCAGTCATGGACAGTATTATGTGGCCCTGTCAAGGTCGACCTCCAAAAAAGGAATACAAATTCAGGGTTAAAGAGAAAGTCATCAAGAATATTGTTCGGCGGGAAATTTTTCTTTAAGACATCGTTTAGTCATTCAATTACAATTATTTGCTCAATGTAACCGCCAACGGACGATTTCGACGACTTCACTGGCCGGGAAGCAGCCTCTGTGGGCGCGCAGCGCCCCGCGGGTTGGACCGCATAGCGGCCAGTATCGTTCTCCACACACGCAGTTCCTCAGTTGAGAACTTAAAAATAACATAAAAATAAAATTTTTCCGGTATTCACGTGCGGTGATTTTAGCGGCTCTGGTGCTAGCACCTAGAGCTGCTATTCCAGTCGGTCTCTGCAGTGGATGTTACCAATGGTACGTCTACCATTGGTTAGAGCGCGCGTTGGTAGACGGGAATCGTCGCCATTTTCGGCTGTGGACCTTGCCATGATTTTATTTTAATTCATTGTTTTTTCTTGTGAGCGAATGATATGTTGTGTAGTGTATTTTTGGAATCATGGTGATACTGTCGATAATTCAAAACTGGTCTGTGCTTTAATCTCGGATTGAAAAAAATGTACTTAACGTTGAAAATCTGAATTTTCAAAACGACAAGTTTTCGCGCTTTGTTGAAAGAATGCCGTGGTTGGAGCCTCCTAGTCGTGCTACTTCATGGACGGATTCGTCCCTAGCGGCGTTGTTGTGTATTAATGCCTAAAATGCTAAGTCGGGTGATCGGGTCCTGTTCACTCGATTTTCGTGAAATTCGATATTCGGTGGTATTTTTCAACGGGAAACTCGAATTTTCGGTATCAGATTTTCAAAATTTCAAAATCCAGGATGGCGGCCGTGGCCTAAAATGCTAAGTCGGCTCCTGTTCACTCGATTTTCGTGAGACTCGGTATCCGGCGATATTTTCCAACGGGAAACTCGAAATTTTGGTCAGATTTTCAAAATTTCAAAATCCAAGATAGCGACCATGGCCTAAAATGCTAAGTCGGCTCCTGTTTGATCGATTTTCGTGAAACTCGGATTCGGATGCATTTTTTAACGGGAAACTCGATTTTTGGGTCAGATTTTCAAAATTTCATAATCCAAGATGGCGGCCGTGGCTTACAATGCTAGGTCTGCTGATTGTGGATGAGGAAAAAGATAACATAATCGCCACTATTCACCATACTTCGTTAAAAAAAGTAAATTCGTTCTTTTAAAAGGCAATAGCTATGAGGGGCGGCTCGCGGAACGAGTCGCAAGTTCATCGCGAAAAGACGAACTGGGGGTCAAAGGGCACTCCCTGGCTAGGCATGACAGCTCGCACAGCTCGCTGAACACGGCTAGTAGTTTATATATGTCTTGGATAAACCCCAAAAAACTTTCAGATTCTAAGGGGTAAAGAATCCGGCCAAAGTCTTAAACTTGTTGAACCAAATTAGCTTATTACTCCTAAAAGAAAATTAAAAATTACCTACACTTTACTGAAAATCGAATGTGGGCCCCTTCATAAACGAGCGATACAACATTCACTGCATGTGTGTATGTGGACCTCTTGTAGGAGCCCAATCGGTTCGCTCTTTGCAACAAACGCTACATTCGTGAATGGAAAGTCCTTGGAGGAGCACATAACGTCCTCTTTCTTTATTTAACTTATGCATTTTTTATTCAGAATCTTCATAAAATCAAAAAGAAAAGTATGGACTGATCTGAGCCTTATATGTGCTCTAAAACAATATGAAATATTTTATCGCACAAAGTCGAATATTTTTTCTTTAAAATTTAGAGCTACGTAACTAATTCAATAATCATGACTGGTGCATTTGCAGAAAAGTTTTCTCAGAGACTCAGTAAATTCCCTTGCTGAGCTGCATGTATCTTCAAGTAGGCATTATACTTCTAAAAGGAAATGTAGGCCCCTTCATTTAGGAGTGATGCAACAGTCATGACGTGTAAGTATGTTTAGCCCTTGCAGGAGCCTCTCCTCACCTATTTGCATTTTTATCTAAAGTAAAAAAAAAAATAGTCGGTAGGTATGGATTGATCTATGAGCCTTCTATGTGCTCCAAAACAATATGAAATATTTTATCGCACAAAGTCCAATATTTTTCGATTCAGGTCCTACAAATGCTTTTAAGAGAGCATGAAAAAAAAAATACTCAATCGACTGGCTAAAGTCCAGTATTTTTCTTAAGAATAGTCTCCTCCTTCAATGAGTGATGCAACAATTGCGACATTTTTATATGAAAAGCCCTTGCAGAAGCCTTTTGATTTGACTCAGCTAAATTTTGAAGAATCACTGACGTGTCCGCAAAAATGCTCTTACTGTAATCATTAGGAACTCGAACGAAAAGGACTCCAGATTACCTAGATATTGAAAATTGTTTTCAGAGTAAATTAATGAAGATTTAAAAAAACAAAAATCATGGTTGAAAATAGCGTTTTTATTTTTTACGCAGAGTAGAATAGGTAAGAGGGTTTTGACATGGATCCTCAGATATCTCTATGAAGCATTAATTTCAGTGACCCGTCTTTTTTACGCATTTTTGCGGACACGTCAGTGATTCTTCAAAATTTAGCTGAGTCAAATCAAAAGGCTTCTGCAAGGGCTTTTCATATAAAAATGTCGCAATTGTTGCATCACTCATTGAAGGAGGAGACTATTCTTAAGAAAAATACTGGACTTTAGCCAGCCGATTGAGTATTTTTTTTTTCATGCTCTCTTAAAAGCATTTGTAGGACCTGAATCGAAAAATATTGGACTTTGTGCGATAAAATATTTCATATTGTTTTGGAGCACATAGAAGGCTCATAGATCAATCCATACCTACCGACTATTTTTTTTTTTTACTTTAGATAAAAATGCAAATAGGTGAGGAGAGGCTCCTGCAAGGGCTAAACATACTTACACGTCATGACTGTTGCATCACTCCTAAATGAAGGGGCCTACATTTCCTTTTAGAAGTATAATGCCTACTTGAAGATACATGCAGCTCAGCAAGGGAATTTACTGAGTCTCTGAGAAAACTTTTCTGCAAATGCACCAGTCATGATTATTGAATTAGTTACGTAGCTCTAAATTTTAAAGAAAAAATATTCGACTTTGTGCGATAAAATATTTCATATTGTTTTAGAGCACATATAAGGCTCAGATCAGTCCATACTTTTCTTTTTGATTTTATGAAGATTCTGAATAAAAAATGCATAAGTTAAATAAAGAAAGAGGACGTTATGTGCTCCTCCAAGGACTTTCCATTCACGAATGTAGCGTTTGTTGCAAAGAGCGAACCGATTGGGCTCCTACAAGAGGTCCACATACACACATGCAGTGAATGTTGTATCGCTCGTTTATGAAGGGGCCCACATTCGATTTTCAGTAAAGTGTAGGTAATTTTTAATTTTCTTTTAGGAGTAATAAGCTAATTTGGTTCAACAAGTTTAAGACTTTGGCCGGATTCTTTACCCCTTAGAATCTGAAAGTTTTTTGGGGTTTTTTGTAGTTTTTATATCAGGTCGTTTTTGGAATGATGTGAAGCTAATGAAACATTTGGCTGGAAAAAGAGAAACTGAGAATAATTTTTTCAATGAGCAGAACTGGAACTCCTTGTTTAATCAACTAAACATTAATAGGGGGTGATTCAGTTTGCAATCAATAAAAGTTACCTGATGTTTAGGTGAGTTTAAACTTCTCTCATCGAAATAGGGTACATAATGTTTTAAAAACTGATGGATTAGCAATTAATTGTCATAGTGTAGGGCTACTTAGAATGAACTTCTTTTGCCGCATAAATTATTCC